TATATATATATATATATATATATATATATATATATATATTGCTTTATATAATTTCTTGTAAATATATTATAGAATTGTGACTTAAATCTTCTAAAGAGTCAAATTTAAACATAAAAAAAAATTACAAAGAAATATTCAAGGGAATGCCTTATAATTTTTATTATTACGACATTAACAAAAATGGCAATATCTTTCTTAGTCTTCCTCCCCCCAATGGAATGAGCACAACAAGGTGCTAATACCACCATTAAAAGAAAAAAAAACTAATGAAGATGTGCCAAAATACAAGTTACATATTAGTCTACATATTATCTCTAACAAATTTCATAAATCCTTCAAGGTTCGGAGGAATTTCCGTTGGTGGTGGCGGAAAAGAAGCTTGTTCATCACCGCTTCCGGGCGAAGCAGCATCCTCCGCAAGTTCCGCTAGCATTTCTTCATAAGCTTCGTCTATCTCCGGTTGTGATTCAGCAAGTCCAAAATTTCTTCTTTCCGAACGGATCCAATCTTTGAAGAGTACTGATTTTTCCAAGCTCTCCCTCATAGACGCTCTATGATCACCGATTTGAAGTCTCGCTTGACTGAAAGCGCTCTCTGATGCCGCTGTTGAAGCTTGAACACATAAAATATCTCGGGCCATCCTTGAAAGAACCGGAAAGTGTTTTTCTTTGTCCTTCCACCATTCCAAAAGATCAAAGGTGCCGTCTGGATTCTATTTTTCAAGGCCCTGCGACAAATAAACTTGAAATTCATTTAGATGTGAAGTATCACCAATATTATCTCCTTGAGAACCCCTGAACTCCGTCCAAGAACTAAGTGCTTTTAGGCCCGCAGTTCTTTTAGATGATTGCGAACTAGATGAAGTAGGAGTTGGAACATTTGGTCTAGCATGAGCTAAGGCAAGTTGATAAGCATTATAAATTGTTTGAGCATTTATTTTAATTGAGGCTTTTGCATCTGCAAGTGTAGCAAATTCCTCATCTGAAAGTAAGATAATCACAGTCATTACCACTTCTACCTATATCAGTGGTAATAGCAATGCGACAATCTATATGAGTAAATAAATACCGCAAATATTGTTCATATTCATGTTTATATTTATAAAAATCGCTCTTTACGGTTGCGCGAGGCCATCCTTTATTAGTAGGATTAAAAAATTTTCTAATATAATGCACAAAGTGAGGGTTAGAAGGAAAACTATAGGGTAAGCAACAGTAACCATTTTTGCTAATTCTTCACGATCTTTATTTGGATCGTAATATAAAATGCCACCGGTAACAGTGTTTATTCCCGGCTGAACTCAGTACCTACACTTCTCCCCTCTAGCTGCGCTTTCATTTGAAGATATCTAGCTTTATCTCTAGGGTGTGTCTTTATGTGCCTAGTCAAAGTACCCGTACCGCTACGGTCTCCAACAAATTTATGAGCCAACAAAGACCCACAAGTTTTACACTTAGCCTTATTTTGTTCTCTTAGTTGAGTAAAAGAGTTCCAAACAAGAGATGTTTCGGGGCGTTTAGAACGTTGTCTATTAAAAGTAGGGGTTACTATAGGAGGGTTAGGCGGGGCATCATTTGGATTATTATCAGTTGGGTTAACAACATGACTAGTAGGTGTATCATCTAAATCCGATTGCGTTTCATCTAAATCTTCATTTTCCTCATCATTTTCATCAATAGTTTCATTAGGATAAAGAGCATTCATATATTCATCATTTAATTGTTGACCTGGTGCAACATCATGGCAAAATTGACTATCGCTAAATTGAAAACAAGGGTTATCACTATCAAGAATAATAGGTGGAGGAGGACGGGTAACAGGTCTGGGCCGGGGAGTCAGGGGAGGGGTAGTAGCTTGGCGACTAGATTCACCAATTTTAGATTTTCCCTTACCACCAAACATTTTTTTCAAAGAAAAGGCCATATTAATTATAATTATACAAACTAAAACAAACAAAACTATAATATTAAAACTTAAGAGTTGGAACGAGTTTATCGAATTGACGAACAACTTCTTGAAAATTGTATATCATTGAAGACTTGAAGACTCGAATACTTCAATTCACTAACTTCACAATTTTTCACAAATTGCAATAATAAAGTAAGCAATTATAGAAGAAAATTAGAGAGAGATTCAGAGAGATTGAGAGAGATAAATGATTTTGTGAGTAAAAATGAAAGAATGATGGGGTATTTATAGTTGAGAAAAGGGAAAAAGTGTAATTATAAAAAGTTTAGGGTTAAAACAAAGTTTGGGGGCCAAATGGCTATTTTTTAAAAAGCCAAACGGCTAAATTGGCAGGCCAACGACTACTTTTTAAACTTCTAACCGTTGGCCTTTTTTTTTTAAATTTTTTTTTTTTGAAAAAATAGCTGTTGGGCCCGTTTGAACCGGCCCAGGCTCGCCAGCAGGTCCCGGGCTCGTGGTCTCACCATAGAGGACTGGCCCACAGTGGGCTTTTGGGACCGGCCCGTTAGGCCTGTGGGCTCGCGGTCCCGGGCTGGGCCCGACCCACAGTACACCCTTAAATAATCTAAATAATCTATATAATCTATACGGGTCGACATGGATCATAAATAATCTATATCTATCTATCTATATATTATTATAAAAGTGGGAACCCTAAAAATAAAAAGTTAGATTACAAAAATACCCCTCTTAATAT